AGCCATTCTGAAAAGGCAACATGCTGTATGATTCTAATTATATAACATTCTGGTAAAGGCAAACTATAGAGACAGTAAAAGAGATCATTTTTTCCCATGGGGTAGTTGAATAGTTGAAGTGGAGGGGATTTTTAGGGCCTCAAAACTATTCTGTGTGATACTGTAATGGTGGATACATGACATTACGCATTTTCCAAAACCCATGGAACTTTACATCACAAGAGTGAACCTTAATGTATATAATTTAAATATATTTATTTAGGAGGTTGGACTATCCCAGGAAGGAATGCAGATGGTGACAACAGAATCTAACTGTGTTACAAATGTAAGAAACAACCTCATGGAAGAGGATGAGGGGCAGGGGGAGCAAAAAGGTGCTGACCTAAGTAACTTTGGAATGAGTGGAGTTGGTAATTTAAAAAAAAAAAAGAAAAAATCTTTGCTGTCGAGTACATTCCGACACATAGTGACCCTATAGGACAGAACAGAACTGCCCCATAGAGTTTTCAAGGAGTACCTGGTGGATTTGAACTGCTGACCTTTTGGTTATCAGCTGTAGCTCTTAACCACTATGCCACCAGGGTTTCCAGAATCTGTAATAGTAGAGGTGAAAAGAACTGCACCTAAGCACCGTATTCTAGTTGATATAGATGGTTCCCAAGAAAGTACAGGTTTACAATTCTGATACTGCTGTACATATATACGGGAATTGAACAACTAAGTGAATAGATAAGAGTATCCAGGAGCCAGGTTTCTCACTCTTACAGTGAGAGGTTACAGATAAGCAAGTGGAGGAAGCTAGAATAATCTATATATGGTAGTGGATTAGAGTTGGAGAAATTAATATGACCTCATGTCATCAATATAAATATGCCATCAATATAAAATGCATATCGTTATATGTAGAAATAGTTATATATGTGTCTCTGTGTGTGTATGTGTATGAGTTGGTAAGTTGTTATCAGGTGCCCTCTATTAGCTCTAACTCATAGTAACCTTATGTATATCAGAAAGAAATGTTACCTGGTTCTGTGCCATCCATAGCTGCCTGAGCCCATTGTTGCAGCCACTATCAGTTCATCTCATTGAGGGTCCCACTCTTTTTTGTTGACCCTCTACTTTACCAAGCATAAGGTCCTTCTTCAGGGACTAGTCCCTCCTGATAACATGTCCAAAGTAATTGAAATAAAGTCTGGCCATCCTTGTTTCTAAGGAGCATTCTGGTTGTACTTCCTCCAAGACAGATCTGTTCATTTTTCTGGTAGTGTTTGATATATTCAATATTCTTTGCTAACACCACAATTTAAATGCATCAGTTTTTCTTTGGCCTTTCTTTTCATTGTCCAGCTTTCACATGCATATGAGGTGATTTAAAATACCATGGCTTGGGTCAGGTGCACCTTAGGTATCAAAGTGACGTATTTGCTTTTTATGAGTTTTATACAAGTTAGCATACACACATATATTTTCTTGCCCTGCCAGCTGAGGTGGCTTAAAAGAAATAACACCCCAGTATCAAAGAGCACATTTAGTGCCCAGACCTTGTTTTCTAATACCATTATGCAATAAAAGGTCCCAGGGATTCTTGGAGAAATGGCTGATTCTAAGAATGGGGAAAGAATTGTACAAGATGAGCCTGGAGCATCTTGTGGTCCACTAAACTAAACAGACTCTGCCACAGACAAGAGGGGCCTAAGGAGACATGATGACTAAATGTAATGTGGTATCGTGAAGGGGCTCCTGTAACAGAAAAAGGACACTAGGTAAAAACTAAGGACATCAGAATAAAGTACGGACTTCAGTCACCAACAGTGTATCAATGTTGATTCATTAATTATATCAAATGTACTGTAATAATGTAAGATGTTATAATAGTAGAAACTAGGTATGCTATATGCAAACTATCTGTAATATATTACCAAGTTAACTGTAAATCCAAGCTGTTCTAAAAAAAAAAATCTAAAAAGTTTGTAAAAGAGAATAACCTACACTTTTTCCCAACAAAGTTATCATGGAATGTAAGTTACCAGTAGGTTCTACTTAGAGCTTAGCTGCTCACCAAAAGGGCGGCAGTTCGAATCCACTGCTCCCTGGAAACCTTATCAGACAGTTCTACTCTGTCCTATAGTGTCACTATGAGTCAGAATCAACTCAACAGCAAGGGGTTAATGCACCCTAGAACTCTGGTGGTGCAGTGGTTCATAATTTGGCTGCTAACCAAGAGGTTGGTGGTTTGAATCCACCAGCTGCTCGTTGGAAACCCTATGGGTGGTTTCACTCTGTCCTATAGGGTCGCTATGAGTCAGAACTGACTGGATGACAACCAGTTTGTTTGTTTCTTTTTGGTTATATCATTTTTAAAATAAGTTATTTTCAATCATGACTTTTTTATTGTTTTTGTTTAAGGAAGAAATTCTAATATGAGCACAATTATGTTCTAATATGAACATAATTGGCTAATGTGATAAGTATATTTATAATTAAATCCAGAAACTATTTAAACTATTGTTGTCTGCATTAATTCTATGTTCATTTTGAAAGATTTAATCCTTAAAAATACCAAAGATCACTTTAACAAAAACTGGGATGCAGATCCCCAGTAAAATCACTATTTTCTTGATACTTTCTAGGGTACTTTTCAGGTATTACGTTTATTGGTGGTAGAGATCTTAAAATTCCAAATAGTAATTACTTTTGTAATCCAGATTTCCCATTTACATTATTATTATGTTTTAAATAAATATTTACATGTGTATACATGTTTGTGTGTGTATACACACATATACATTAGCTATATGTATGCCTATGTATATGTAGGGAGCCTTGATAGGCATTAGAGTACTTGAATATGAAGAGTTAAATGCAACACAAATGTAAGTGTGCCTTTAAAAATCCATTTAAAAAATAAAAGGCAGATTCATTACTTTAGTACAGAAGTATAATTTACCTCCTCTAAAAATGATAAGTATACATTTTCCTATATCTCATGTACTAAAGCATCCATTTTCAGTTTTATTTAGACCTAAAGATCTTTTATTTATTATATTTTCATTCTTATCCTTATCTTCATCAGCATACAGAGAAAGTATTTTATGAGCGTGCTGTTGAAATTTTTAAATTAATCAATGATTCTTTATTAGATAATATATCTTCAGTACTATAAAACATATATTGTCACTTCCATTATGTTCAATTTTCAAAAAAAAAAAGATTCTAATGATGTGTCAAAATAGAATTTGTATACTGTAATGGGGAAATGGCAGGTTTGGTTCTTCAGGACGACTATTTTGAATCTTTTGTTTTTTCCCTGTCATCTCTATCCTAAAAATTAAATGATTAAATTTTACTCTGTGATAAGTTTTATAATACCCAATAAGAAGCAGTTTTGTCAAAATTTAAGATAAAGATAGCAATGTTAAGTGAAAGGAAATACCCAAATGTTTACTGAAGATAATCAAGAAAGTTTAAGAACCATGAATTCTAGTCATGTCTTGCTATTTAGCCATTAAATAGAAAATTCTTTACTTCTTAACTCCAGTGATAAGGTCATTATCTCAAAAATCTTTGTTCAGATCAAAATTGGAGAATTGGAGACTAGACAGCACACCTAAACCTGCAGACATATCTGCTCTGGAGGGAGAAAATGGTCTTTCTTTATATATATACACACACACACACACACACACACTCACATATATATATATATATACATTATATACATTTGTAAATATGGTACGTGTATATATCTCCATACCATAATATATATATGAATATATATACATATATATATACATACTGTATTTTTATGCAAATAACACACATTATCTGTGTTTGTTTGCTGGCCGCGCCCTCCCTCTTGAGGTATTTTCATAAGTGCGCTATGCTTTCTTTTTTTCATAATTACATGTGGAAGAGGATTGGCAACCAAACCTGTTGCCATCTACTTGATTCCAACTCATAGTGATCTTGTAGGACAGACTAGAACTGCCCCATAGGTTTTCCAAGGAGCGGCTGGTAGATTCAAACTGCCAATCTTTTGGTTAGCAGCTGAACTCTTAACCACTGTGCCACCAGGGCTCCTTCTCATAGTTTAGAAGGCTTGAAGTCCCAGTTGAGGACACTGGCTCTAGGAAAGGGCTTTCTCTCTGTTCGTTCTGGGGGAAAATTGTTTCCTCAGCCTCTCTAGCACTAGTGTTCCTTGGAGTTCTTGGGTTTGTAGTCTGGTCTGCCTCCATAGTCTTCAGATAGTCTTGATCTTTCCCCTTTGTGTTCTTTCTTATATGCTTAATCTGCTCTTTTATGTCTTAAAAGTGATCGGTTTAAAACACCTTACGCTGATATGACCTCATAAACATAACAAAGAAAACCCTATTCCCAGATGGGATTATATCCATAGGTATGTTGTTGTTGTGTGCCCTCCAGTCCGTTCAAACTCATAAAAAAAAAAAACAACAAAAAAAAACAAGCTGTTGCCGTTAGTAGATTCTGACTCACAGTTAGCCTAAAGGACAGAGAAGAACTGCCCCATAAGTTTTCCAGGGAGCACCTGGTGGATTCAAACTGCCGACCTTTTGGTTAGCAGCCGTAGCTCTTAACCACTATGCCACCAGGGTTTCCCTTCCAGCCAATAGTGACCCTATATAACAGAGTAGAACTTCCCCATAGGGTTTCCTAAGCTATGAATCTTTACTGGAGTAGATCTCTAAGTCTTTTATCCCATGTACTCACTGGTGGGTTCCAACTACTGACCTTTCAGTTAGCAGTCTAGTGCTTAACCATTGCACTATCTGGGCTCCTTAACCACAGGTATACGGGTTAGTATTTACAACACATATTTTTTGGGAGGGACACACAATTCAATCCATAACACCTGATTCTGTAAATTTATTTATAAAGAATTAGAATATGCAAATAGTAATTTTAAGTCATCACAAATGTAGTGTAATATCAAGTGCAATATACATTTCTAGAAAATTACATTAACTTTTCTGTTTCCTTAGGTCAGTATACAAGTACAACAGGAAGCTGCAATTTTGAAGCTTCAGGAAATTGGACCACAGTTTGCAGTCTTACTCAAGACTCCCAGGATGACTTAGACTGGGTCATTGGCAAGAGAATTCCTGCTGAAACATGGGAACCAGATTCTGATCACACACCAGGTAAAATGAGTAGGAATGTCCAAGCCAAATAATCCACTAGGCTGGAAATCTTCTTTAGTCATTTGAGTGAATATCAAAGTGGATTGCTTATGTCCATGTGGGGATATAGCTCAATTAAGTTTCATTGAAGGAGGGTTAGTCCTTTCTGTTTTCACTCCTGAAATGTTGCATAGACCCAGAACTGACATTGCTACGACAAGGAAACACAAGAGTGATATTTTAAGAAAATCACAAATTTTATTTCCTCCGACTGAAAGATGTTGTTTAAAGTCTTCAGTTGGGGCGGGAGTGAGACAGGTAGCATTTAGGTTAATGCGTGCAATAGGCAAAGGTATAGAATTGGCAATGTTAAGAATTCTCCAGCTGCCACATGGCCATTCAGCTGACCAGCAATTCCATTCTAGTCATTCTGAAGTCTAGGAGCAGATATACAAAAGGTGATGAAGTGAAGAATCAGCTAAGTCTGGATCAGTTTTGTTTCCTGCCTATGTTTTGAGATTAGTAAAATCTTTAATGATTTTACAGCTAATAGAGGTAGAGTGGAAGTAAGCAAGTAATCTTATTACTTATACCCAGAAATCCTGGCTACCTATCACCAAACAAAGGCAATCTAACTTTTCTTAGAGAAGAAAATAATCTAAGGTATTTCTCAAAGCAATTGAAGCATAGACAAAGAAAAAGATTATATGTAATTAAAAATAATTTTTCATAAGAAAAGTGTACAACATTGGCTCAGGTATTTTATGACTAGAGGGAAAAGAATATTAATTTTATTGCTTATATATTTCAAGCAGATTTAACATACTATGTTTAATCACAGTATGAAAGTTCATTATTGTTTTAAAGTTGTCCCCTAATTGTATATTGTATATTAGGGATAAGAAGCAATCATGCTTAGGAAGTGAAAAATTAATATTTTATGAAAATACACTCAAGGATCCAGAAAATTTCCCAGAGGTTAATAGAACAGGGCGGAGACTCAAGAAACTGAGTCCATTAATTAAAGAATTTAGTAAGAAAGGTACATATTTTAATTCATCGGGGAAAAGATGTATTACTTAATGTGGGGCTAGCATATCTGGTTATCTACGTAAAAAAAAAAGGAAATTAAACTCCAGTTTTGTATCATATACAGAAATAAATTCAAGATAGATTAAAGATTTAAATGTAACAAATAAAAATAATAAAACTATTGCAACAAAAGAGAAAGTAAAATATGTGAAATTGAGAAGCAGAATCTAACTTCCAAAATCCCAGAAACTATGAAAGAAAAGATGTACATATTTGATCACGTAAAACTATAGCTTTGGTGTAAAATTTTATAAACAACTTCAACAGGGAAATAATAGGTTAGAAATTGTTTTCCTTGAAGCTTACAACAGATATGTATTCAGATAATTCTTACAAACCTATTAGAAATGGTAACTTTAACAACAAAGATTTGCAAAACCAGTTCACAGATGATCAAATTCAAATTGAAAAAAAAAACTCGTTGTGTCTGGTCTATTTCGAGTCATAGCAACCCTAAAGGACAGAGTAGAACTGCCCCATAGGGTTTCCAAGTCTGTAATTTTTACGGAAGCAGACTGCCACATCTGTTTCCCGTGGAGCAGCTGGTGGGTTAAAACCACAAACCTTTCAGTTAGCAGCCAAATGCTTTAACCACTGCACTACCAAAATATTAAATGACTCTCAAGTTCACAACTCATCAGAAAAATACAAATTAAAATAATAGAAAGACTGGAAAATGTCTCTAGACATTTTCAATTTTCCCCTGGGTGGCAAAATCGACCCCTGTAGGGAACCTAGAGGAACTGCCAGGAGTCCAGTGTAACTTGTTAAATCTACAAGGTACAATATCATACAGCCACTTTAGAGAGCGTTGTGTATGACTTGGAATCGACTCGACAGCACACTACAACAACAACAACAACATTCTGTACATAGATGTCTCCATAAACGATTATGTGAGTGTGGAGAAAAATTAGAAGGATATACACTTGTTTATTAATATGGATTACTTTGGTGGGTGATAGGGTTGGAGTACAGGAGTGGGTTAATACATTTAAAAACAAAAAGAAATAAGTAAAAACAGGACATGCACATCAAAAGTAAACCTAGTAGGTATGATGGCAGCACATTTGTGGTTTTGTGGGAAATGTGCATGTGGACTTTTTTAAGTTTTTCCATTTAAAAAGTCGGAACTATTGCTTCTCAGTACAATAATAATCACTTTTTCTTCAATATTTTTTACAATTCTAAATAATACATCTCCTTTTTCTAAAATTTTGAAAATATAAATAAGCAGAAAAAATAATTGCCAGTAATCCCAGCATAGCACTATAATCATCAATAAGCTTTGTGTTTGAGTATCCCACTATTCTTTTTTTATATAGATATTTCTAATAAAAATAAGTTTCTGCTTGATATAAAATATGCTGTGAAAAAGTTTATATGTTATGAATAATTTTTATATATACAGCAGAGTACTTCACTTTTTGGTAGTATCTTAATGTAAGAAATTATCTAGTGGTAAACTCAAATTATTTTCTAACATTTTCACTATAATAAACAGCACAGTGAATATACATTTAGGTGAATCTTTTTTACTTTTATAGCAATTCCTTAGGACAAATTCCATGTTTGTCTTCTTTGACAAATGATGGGAAATTATTGAATTTTTATTTTTGTGACTAAGTCCAGATAATATCTGGATATACAAATGTGATGACATCTACAGTGATCTTTCCTTATCTTTAAGACAGTGTTTGAAAACTACCAGAGCACATCTGCTGGTGTAATATTACTAATGGTACAAAGAGTATTAGAGGCTCAGCTTAAGGCAAAAAAAATGAATATAATCAATAGCCATGAGAATAGTTCCATCAATTGTTCAAAAGGAAAAATATGAGTGAGTAATTGCTGCCTTTTAATGGAACAATTAAGGACTATTAATGGGAGTATTATTTTCTTTTTTGAACTTTTATAGCTTGTGTAATTTCATTAAAGACCACATGAAAAGTTTTGAATCTGGTTATTTATGCAATATTGCCTACAAGCAATGTTGTCCATAAATAAAGAAAAATAAGCATACTGACAGAATGGTTTATTATCCTCCATGTTAATCACTACTCAAGACAGTATATTTTTACAGATTTCTCTCCTTGAAGCAGCCTGATTATATCATCCCTGCTACCTTATATGCCTCAGTGAACTTGTTTTGACATCTCTGAGACAATGGGCTGCTGAATAAATTGTAAGGACATTAATTAATTTTGGCCCCCTGGGAAAAACAAAATTCTTTATGAGAAGGCCAACAGATTAAAAGAACCTACAGTCTGTTTCTAAGCATCACAACATCACTGTTAATTACAACTGTATTTATGGGTCTTTTCATTTACTGCTACCAAGATGAAGAATTAGATACATAAGGAGGACATTTTAGTGCTCATCACAGGCCTATTTAAGAGCCTTTTTGGGGCCATTGTGGAAGATGTTGAGAGAACCTAGAAATATTAATGCACTCTCTAGTCTGTACATAGAGAGTGTTTACACTTAATGCATATGGGATTTAATGGTGAGAGTGACATTTGCATGACACAGATCAGCCAAGGTACAATACACAAGGCTGCTGGCTTTTTTTTTTCCCCTTCTTTTGTAACTTTATTTTCTTTTTGGTTGTATAATTGGCCATCTCCACAATTAGATCATGAACTCCAATAGGGCAGGAGTCACATCTTGTGCTATTTTTATATTCCCTCCAGCACTTAAAATAAAATTGACTAACACTTGATAAATACTTGTGTAAGGCACATGATACTTAGATCTGTCCCTTTCTGTATTTATTAACAGCAAAGTATTTTTGATTAATCAATGCAACAAGCACTTTCTGAGTGCCTACTAAATGCCACACACTATGTTGGGAGCTTAGGGTGTGAATTAATTAGATATTTGTATAATAACTGTGGAATGGAATAATCTGCCTGATATAACCCACAAGTGTCCTATCATGCAATTGTATATTTACATCCAGAGGTCAAAAAACAGTCCCCCAAAATCTTAGTAATACAAATACCCTAATGTATATTACAGCAGTTTAAGGTATAAAGTGCTTAACAGATATAACTTACTTGATACTTGGTTGAGAGTGCCCTAAAGGTTAGACAGGTGATTAACTGTACTTCTTATTGGGAAGAGACAGATATTGTTATTTCTGCACTAGAGATAAGGAACACAGGAAACTAAATATTTCCCTAAGCCTGTATAATGAATAATGAAAATGATTTAAAATCTTGGTGTATGGAACCTAATCTAAGCTCTTTCTAGGACATCACTGCATGCTTATCCTATACATACAGCCAGTGCTTGAATGCCCTTGACTTCTAAATTTGGGGCCAGTTAATCTCTCTTTCACGGGAGCATGTTGGTTCAGTGGTAGAATGCTCACCTTTCTTTCAGGGGGAACCCAGATTCAATTGCCAGCCAATTCATCTTATGCACAGCACCACCCTTCTGTCAGTGGAGGCTTGAGTGTTGCTAGGATGCTGAACACGTTCACAGTGGTTCCCAGGCAGCGTTTTATTCCATTGTGCATAGGATCACAGTGAGTCAGGGGCCAACTCAAGGGCAGCTAATAACAACCACCTCTTTTTCATTCTAGGCTTACACCCCAATTTCTCCCTGGTCTCTTATGGAGTAAAGGAAAACTCCCATATTTATTTTCTTTGGAGGGTTGGGGCTAGAGCAGGGATATGAAATTAGAGATATAAAATTAAGGCCTAGCTCACATGTGTACCATAGCATTATTCTTGGATTTATTCTAGTCTTATTCACACACACACACACACACACACACAAACACACACATACACACACGGAAATAGACAATAACCATATTAGAACACATTTTTAAAAGCTGCAATAAATGGACCAGAAATTTTTGATGCTTTCCCAGAAGATGAATAAAAAAAAAAAGCAGATCAGATTATATTGAATAGAAT